TAAAAGGCATCTATGAAACATCCACAACTGAACCAGACATGGTGGTCCACTCCTGCAGTCTCAGAAGGGGGATTTTGAATTCAAGACCAGCCTGGAAGCTGGGCACTAGTACTGGTGGCTCATGCCTGACATCCTAGCTACTCAGGAGCCTGAAATATGAGCATTGTGGTTCCAAGCCAGCCCAGGCAGAAAAGTCTGTTAAGTTCTTATCCTCAATTAACCACCAAAAAGCTGAAAGTGGCATTGTGGCTCAAGTGGTAGAGTGCTAGCCTTGGGCACAAAGAGGCTCAGGGATAGTGCCCAGGACCTGAGTTCAAGCCCCAGAACTGGCACCAAAAAAGATCAGCTTAGGGTGCATAAGAAACAAGCGCACAGTGTATCTAACTTACAGTTGGAAGACTGGAAGCTGTTTTTCCTCCTGTGTGATTAGGAACAGGGCAAGGGTAACTGCTCTCATCACCTCTTTCAACACTGTACTGGGGCTAGCCTCAGAAAGGAAGGGAAGGGAAGGGAAGGGAGAAGGGAGAGAAAAGGGAGGGAAAGGGGTAGGGGATGCATCCATATTGGAAAAAAAGTAAAAGTTTTTAATCTCCACTTAAAACCTAGAACTAAGCCAGGAAGTGGTGGCTCACGCCTGCAATCCTAGCTACTCAGGAGGCTGAGATCTGAGGATTACAGTTTGAAGCCAGCGCAGGCAGGAAAGTCGTTGAGACTCTTATCTCCAATTAACGAGCAAAAAGCTGCAAGTGGATCTGTGGTTCAAATAGTAGAGTGCTAGCCTTAAGCAAAAAAAAAAAAAAGCTGAGGGACTGTGCCCAGGTCCTGAATTCAAGCCCAGGACAGGCTACTAGAATTACTGAACAAGTTGAATAAGATCACAGAATTTTGGGGCTGGGAAGGTGGCTCAGTGGTAGAGCACTTGCCTTGCATGCATGAGGCCCTGGGTTCCATTTGTCAGCACCATATAAGCAGAAAAAGCCAGAATTGGCACTATGGCTCAAGTGGTAGAGTGCTAGCCTTGAGCTGAAGAGCTCAGGGACAGTGCCCAGGCCCAGAGTTCAGGCCCCACAACTGGCAAAAAAAAATTGCATACTACAGGATCAGCACACAAAAATCATGTGTAGAGACTAGGCATCTAGCCCCATGTTGGAGCACTTGCCTAGTAAGGACAAGGTCCTAGGTACCATCCCCAGCACCCTCCCCAAAAATGTATTTCTTTTATGGTTAATTGAAGATAAAAGTCTCACATGATTTTTCTGCCTGGGCTGGCCTCAAACAAGATCCTCAGATCTTACTTTCCCAAGTAGCTAGGATTACACACATGAGCCACTGGAACTCAGCCTCAAATTTTATTTCTTTACAATGCAAAATGGAAATGATGACAAGAATTCCATGTACTATAGCATGATAAAGAATAAAACACTTAAACTCAACAAAACAAATGCAAGATATAGAAGAGGGATTGTGGAGTAAAGCCCTGAGTTCAAACCCCAGTACAGCCTTAAAAAAGGAAGGCAAGATACCATTGAAAGACATTAAAGACTCAAATAAGTGGAGCAATCTCTTCCAAATTGACACGTAATTTCAATCCCCATCAAAACCCCTGCTCACTTTTCAGAACTTAGGAGTTGCTCCCAAAATTCACGTGGAAACAATTTTAAAGAATAAATACAGAGTTAAAAGACTCATGCTTCCTAATTTCAAAAGTTTCTACAAGGCTCCAGGAATGGGAGCAACGTGATGATACTCTCAAAGCAAACATGAAAATGGCTAATAACACAAGACAACCTACCTGAGACCCAAAACAAAACCACATGAGATCTGGAGACGTGGTGCAGGTGCAGAATGCTTAGCTGGCTAATGCCAAGGATAATGCTTTTACTCCCAGCACTACACAAATGAAAAACCATACTAAGTAACGTGCCATTTCACACCCAGTAGGATAGCTCTGAGATAACCAGAAAAAAAAAGATGTTTGCAGGCAAGTAGAAAAACTGTATGTTGCTGATACTAATGTAAAATGATACAGCTGCTGTCAAAAGGTGACTGTAGGTGTGGGCACTGATGGTTCATACCTGTAATCCTAGCCACTCAGGAGGCTGAGATCGAAGGATCACGGTTCAAAGCCAGCTTGGGCAGGAAAGTCCACGAGATTCTTGTCTCCAATTAATCCAGAAGTGGAGCTGTGGCTCAAAGTTGTAGAGTACTACCCTTGAGCAGAAAAGCTCAAGGACAATACCCAGAACCTGACTTCAAACATCATGATACACACACTCTCCCCCTCTGTCTCTCTTTCTCTGTCTCTGTCTCTCACACACACACACATACACACAAAGTGACTGCAGAAGGCTGAGATCTGAGGATCATGGTTCCAAGCAACCTGGGCAAAATTAAATTCAGAAAAGCAGGTAAAACTCTTAGCTCCAATTCACCAACAGAAAGCCAGAAATAGAATGATGGTTCAAACAGTAGAGCACCAGCTTTGACCAAAAGAAGCTAAGGAATAGGATCTGGGCCTGGAGTTCAAGCCTCAGTACTGACAGAAAGAAAAGAAGAAAAGAGCAGGGCACTGGTGCCTCACACCTGTAATTCTAGTTACTCAGGAGGCTGAGATCTGAGGACTGTGATTCAAAGCCAGTCTGGGAAGGAAAGTCCATGAGACTCATCTCCAATTAACCACAAAAAGTTGTAAGTGGAGCTGTGACCCAAATGGTAGAATGCTAACCTTGAGCATAAAAGTTGATGGACAGAGCCCAGGCCCAGAGTTCAGGCCCCAGGACAAGAAAGAAAAAAGAAAAGGAAAGGAAAGGAAGGTTAGTTGCTTATGTGCATTTTCCTGAAAGCCGAACTCATGGGCTAAATGGTGTCTCTGTGGAGTCTATGGCTCCGACAGGTGCACAGGCCATACATAGGTGGGCATGGATGAGGCCCATTTGGGAGACATGGGGGAGCAAATGTGTTCAAGGATCCTGCGAGCCAGGCAAGTGGTCCTAGTACCCTGCATTTCTGGAACAAAAGCTTCCTTCTGTTCTAGTAGAAGCAGCAGTCAATAGAGTAGCTAATCATTTTTTTTCTGCTTTCCCTGTATTGTTTTCATTCAGTCCTTTTTGTTTTCTTCCTCTTAATTTTAAAAGACAGCTTCACATGGGAGAGCTTCCCATCTGGACCCACGCCGGGGAGGAGTGGAAAAAGTAGGGGCAGTGTGCAGAGGACAGAGGACAGCAGGGTGCCTGCGGGGACCCTTTGCCAGCTGCACTGATGAGCATGAGCTCCTGCGTGAGAAAGACGTAGGAGGGAGGAAGTGAAGCTGGGACTCCCCAGCCTCTGCCTCCTTCCTCATGGCAGCCTCCCTGAAAGCAGCTCCATTGGACTTCCACCAGGGTTCCTTCCAGGCCTGTCCTGCAGCCCAAGTTGTCCTTCCCTTTCCCTTAGCTCCCAGGAGGTCAGCCTGGCTTGAAGGGCCACACCAAAGCCTTCTCCAAGAAAGTCAAGGGGACTGACTGCCCTTTGGCAGAGTGATTCCAGAAAAGGAAGCAATGAGGATGGGATCCGGGCTCAGCACAGGGCTCCTTTCCACTCTGTCCGGAAATGCAACACATTCACAAAATGCCCTCCTGGACCCAAGACAGGTGGTTCTAGATTCCAATCTTACAAGAAAAGCTGCAGCGGCCAGTAGAAACCAGTAAGGCAAAGGGAACAGGTGGCGACTAGCAGCCAGAGGAGTGAGGGCAGCAGGTGCATTCCCAGGAAGAGCCCAGGAGAGGGACCAAAATCCCACCAGGGTGGAGCAAAACTTGTGTGCCACCTCCTGCCACCTTCCACCCCTCACCTCCAGATCACAGGGGGCCAGAGCAATGTAGCTGACAGAATGAATTCGGGGTTCCTCAGGGCCGCCTCAACACCTCAATTCTGTGCTTCGCTTTCCTTTGGCTGCACGTGCCCCATGCCTGTCCCGGCTCCCAGGCTAACACCAATCCAACACGCACTTGCTCCAGCTCAGGCTGGAGGCACTAAACTCATACCTGTCTGCACCTGCATCTGCTCCTGGGTCCCGACTTCCCCTGACCTTGACCTTCCTGTAATTGGTCCTAGTGGGTCTTAGTGCACATCATCCGGGACACATTTCTCAAAACAGCTAGCGGGATGCACACAGAAAGTACACACGCGCGGGGCCAGGGAGCCTCCGCACACACACAGACGGGGCACAGGCATGCACTCACGTAGTCACGCCACGCACAGGCAAGGAAACCCCTCTTGGGGCTGAAGGGCCAGGCTCAAGGTTGGGGCGTGTGGCCGTGTGTCTCATGTCCATCCACGTCCCCCAAGACCCAATAAGCGAAAGAGTGGGAGGTGAACAGCAGCGCATGGATCGGGCACCTCCGACCCCAGCGTCACCAACTCACCCAAGATGCCCAGGCCCGGGAGCCCACAGTTCACGCTGGCCAAACCCGAAGTGGGTGCGGGCATGTGCAGCCAGCCCTAAGCTGGACGTCGACGGCGCCTTGGGGCTTCTGGGGCCCTGGCCTGCCGATACTGGGATTTGGCCTCCTGGGTTCTGTGTCCAGCCCGGAGAGCATGTGCCCGGGAACCCTGCCGGTTGCTATGCAACCTCCATGCTGCGCGAGCCCCAATCGCGCCTCTGGCTGCGAGTCCCGGGACAGAAGCATGCCCCAACTGGGCCAACCCCAACTTCCCATCCCGGCTTGATCTGGATACAGGGTTCCAGACCCCATCGAGGGTGGGCGCCCAAGTCATGAGCCTCTCAGCCTCCAGCCCCCACCCAGTCCCCCCCCCGCCCCCGCCATCCGTGGCTGGTTCCCACGGAGCGCCAACACCCAGCCACCGAGCGTGTGAGCGGGAGGCTCGCTCCCTACCTTCTCCTCTTCAAGCCCTCTTGCCCTCCCACACCTGCCTCTCCCACTCCACCTGGCCCTCCCCACGCGATCTGCTCCATCTCGTGGCGGGGCTGGGCCCATCGCCCTGCGGCCCGGCTGCCCTACCTGAAGCATCACTTTGTACTGCTCCTCCGGTTTCTGAACCACGCACATATTACATCCCATGGTGCTGGCCGGCAGGGAAAAGAGGGCGGGAAAGGGAAGACGTCTTTCACAGGCCGGTGCGCGGGACCTCGGGTCCCGGGCTGGGGCCGGGGGCCATATCCTAGCGCGGCGAGAGAGCCCCCTAGCAGGGGAGGGGGGCACGCCCGCGAACGGGGGGCAGCTCCACGCCCCTCAGCTTAACTCTTCCGTGGCCAAGGCCAGGCCCAGGCATGCTCCCTCGCACCCGGCCAGGAAAAAAAAAAAGGGCAGCGGGGGATGGGTGGGCGCGCGGGGCGTTGCCTGGCTACGGCCCCCCAGGAGGCGCGGGGGCGCGCCTGGCCGCGAGGGCCGTTAAGGGCCGAGGGCCGCGCGCCTCTCCGCCCGCGGGGCCCGCCGCTGCCGCTGCCGCCTCCGGCTCCCGCCCATGGCCGCCAGCCCTGGGAGCCCAGCCTTTGCGCTTGGCGCCGCGGGTCGGCCCGACCTGGCCCGGCCCGCCGACTTGGGGGGCGGCGGCGCGGCGGCAGCCCCCGCCCGCGGCCAGGCCCGCGCCCGTGCTCCCGCCTCTCGGGGCCCGGCTCCCGGAGCTCCCGGCGCCCGCTCTTTGGCCCGCAGCCTGCCGGCTGTCTCCAGCTCCTGCCTGGAACGACGGGCACACGCGCGCGCGCCCGTAGCAGCAGTAGCGGCGACGGCGGGGGTGGTGTGCGGGGAAGGGGCGCAGGCGCGCAGGGGAAGGAATGAGGCTGGGTGCGGGCGGGAGCGGTGGGGGGGCCGCGGGAGTCGGTGCGGGAAGCTGGGGGCGGAGCCTTTCTGCTAGCGGACGGTGAAGCACCTGACACCCCGTGACACCCGTGTCCGCTCCTATGGGCAACCGGTGCTCTGGTCCAAGTGTGGGACCCAGTTTGGGGAAGACGCCTCCTGATCCCCTAGAGAGAGTTCTGGGCGCCGGTGAGGGCACGGAATCTCACCCCTTTTCCCTCGTTATGGACACGAAGTCAGAATGGCTCGGCTACTCTGCCTTCTCTTTAGTGAGAGATTCCCTTCCTTTGCCTGAGCCATTCCCATGCTGTCTTTGAAATGAATACCTTTGTTTAGAAAAAAGAAAAAGCAAAGCGTGCAGACGAGGAGTCGATGGCAGCGATCCGAGCAGCCTGCAATGGCTTGAAGCCTTTCTTCCCCTGGACTGGCCGGCCTGGGGCGCCCCGCTGCTACCGGCTCCCGCCGGCCCACACCCCATCACGCCACTTGGCACCCGCCTGCGGCTCTTCCTTTGGCCTTCCACAGCTGGCCCCTGTTCTTCTGGCCAGAGAAGGCCTCTGTGTAGAAAGCAGCTGCACATTAGGGCTGGGGTCCCACGGGCTGAGAGGGGGGAGCACATGGCCCCTGACCGAAGAGGTTTCTTTGATAAGATTATTGTGTGCTTTAGTGCCGGGTTTTGGCAAGTGAGGGAAGCCTTAACCACCCAGGGGAAGGCTCAAAGCCTGTCCTCCTCCCTGCCCCCTTAGCCTCCCCAACTCCTGCTTTTATGGAATGATATTGTCCAGAAGGATTTCCTTCTTCAATCTACACAAGAGGCATGAGTAGCTTCTCAGGAGTTCATTCTAGAAAGCAGAACTTTACACCAGAGCTGATAGGCAGGTTGCAACCTGTCACCAATGGCTGGGCTGGTCTCCTGGCGCTCACCAAAGAGCTAGCTGGGCATTTGGCTCTGTGGCTGGCTGGCTGGCATGTGCTATAGCAGTGGCATCCATATTGCCCTTAGGGAGAGGACTCCCCCATGGCCATTGCTAATCCACCAATCCCTCCAATCTGTGCCTTCTTGCATGCTCCTTTGCAGTGTATTCCCCCTAAATAGCCCCAGCATGAAACCTAGGGCTACACACACACACACCTGAGGAAATGGGGATCTGATGGGGACCAATGATGGCATATATGGCAGGAAAATCAATGTGAAATGCAGGCTCCTCTGTGCTAAGGACACCATGGCCGCTGGGAACTGAGATGGCTCAGAGTGGACACTAGCAAATCCAAGATCATGGGGCCAGCAGACTTGGTGCCCCCTGAGGCCCTGCTGCATCCACCATGTCTTCTCCTGTTGCCTCACACTGTAGGAAATGCAGGCCCTAAATTCAAGCCCAGGGCTGCTGCATGCGGGCACACACACACCCACACACACACGCGAATTTTGGAAGGGAAAAGACCCCTTCAAACCACAGTGATCTGTCTACTGTAGTACTTAATCTTTTTTGTTTTTTGGTGTTTTGTTTTTTGTTCTTGTTGTTGGTCGTGGGGCCTGAACTCTGGGCCTGGGTGCTGTCCCTCAGCTCTTCAGCTCAAGGCTAGCACTCACAGCACCACTTCCAGCTTTTTCTGCTTATGTGGTTTTGAGGAATGGAACCCAGGGCCTCATGCATGCAAGGCAAGCGCGCTACCACTGAGCCACCTTCCCAGCCCTGTATTACTGAGTCTTGACCTTTGGTCTATTGTATACATTTTTAGAATTGTCTTCTGCTCTCCCTTTTCCTCCTCGTCTTCTTCCTTTTGGTCTCAGTCTCACTATTGAAGTAGGGAGGCTGAGTTGAAGTAACTTCTTGCAGCCATTCTGGGGCCTCTTGCTGGGTGGAGGCAATTATCCACCCAGAGCTGAAGAGCTCTGGTGAGAGAGTTCATTCATTGAATGCAGATGCCTAGCTCAAGGTGAGCTAGGAGGGCTCTGCTTCCGAGAAATGCAGATGCCATAGCCTTAGGAAAGCTTTGCATATGAGGATGCCTTTGTGTTTAGGATTCTGACTTAATTAACTCCCTAAATGGCTTGCATCACCAGCCTCTGAGTAACCTCTAAGTATGCCCTATATGGAAGGTTGAGGCCTATCTTCCCTAGAAGGAAAAGTTCTGCTGGCACCTGAGTATGTCAATTTAATGTCTGCCATCTTGTCTTCATGGTGGGGGAAGGTGAAGCCTTCCCGGTCCCTTCAGGTGACAGGGGTGCCTGGATCCCTGGAGACAGGGGCAGGCACTTGGCTAATAGGTTAGTGAAAATGTCAGTCCAGTGCCTGGGACTGGGAGTGTCCTGTGACCCTGACCCCTGCCTGGACCGTCTCCGGGGTGAGCAGGCCATGCCACGTGTCACCATGTGTGTGTCCTGGCTCCTGGCTGTTCTCCTGTCACCATGGCATCCCACTCCAGCTCTCCATTGGAGCTGAATTGGTTTGTCAGTATTGTTTTTGTTCTTTCTTTCCTTTGTGGCCTGTTTCCTGTGTTAAGTGAAAAAGCCGTTAGGTCTTGGGAGTTGGGGGCTTTTCGGTTGGGCCCATAATGGGAGGTTTACAGCTGGGCTCAGGTGGATTGCCCTGCCTGCACGTCAAGCACATCCACGCATGCCTGGGGTTTTGCCTGGCATCTGTATGTGCCTGGGACAATAGGGTGGGGGCCAATCCTTCACAGGCTGCAGGCCTTTCTAACAATCGGCTGCCCACAGACTGCTGGTGCTCCAATAAAGACTCCAAGATTCAAGCTCTCAAAATGTGGCTTCTATTTTCTCCCCTTACAACACTATGTAACCCCAGGCATGCCTAGTACTCATATCTACCTAATACTCATTCCTCTGCCTTCCAAGGGTCTTGCTTCCTGCCAAGGCCTGTGCTTGGTCCACAATCTGCCTCTTTTAGGTTTCCCACTGTAACTAACACCATGCCCAGCTCTTTGGTTGAGGAGAAGGATTTCATGGACTTTCCTGTCTGGGTTAGCCTTGAACTGTGATCGTCCCCGCCCCCCCCCCCCCCTGCCCAGTAGTTATACAACTGGCTTTTTTCCCCTTTGGTGGAGTTTGAACTCGGAGCTGCTCACTTGCTCCTCTTGCTCACTGGGCTGCTACTCTACCACTTGAGCTATGCCTCCAGCCCAGCCCTTTACTGATTATTTTGGAGATGGCGTCTCAGAGGCTCTTCTACCAAGGCTGGCTCTGAACCACAATCCTCTGGATCTCAGCCTCCTAAGAAGCTAGGATTACAGGTGTGAGCCACTAGTGCCTAGCTGCTGTTGGCTTTTTTGTTGTTTTTGTTCATCATTATGTCTATCAGTTTGCTAAATTCTCATTTTGTGTGTGTGTGTGAGACTAACACATGTGTTAGTCCTGGGGCTTGAACTCCAGGCCTGGGTGCTGTCCCTCTGCCTTTTTCCTCAAGACTAGGACTCTACACTTGAGCCATAGCTCCACTTCCAGATTTTTGGTGGTTAATTGGAGAGAAGAGTCTCATATTTTCTGGCTTGGGCTAGCCTTGAACCAAAATCCTCAGATCTCATACACCTGAGTAACTAGGATTACAGGCATGAGCCACCAGCACTCAATTCAGAAGGATTTTTTTTTTATTAACATAGGGATGTTTATTAGTATAGGGATGTTTCATTGTGACATTTTCATTTGAATGTTCAAGATACCCCATCAAAGTCATGATCTCCATCTCTCTCCCTCATCCTTTATCCATTCTTAAAACAATTTGAACAGGTTCCATTGTTCTATTTTCATACATGCATGTTAAGTACTATACCATGTTCATCCTCTCTCATTTACCCTCCTGCTGATACAAGCACACAGCAAATCCTGTTGTACTTTCCTGAGTTTTTTTTCCAGTCCTGGGGCTTGAACTCAGGGCCTGGGCACTGTCCCTGTCCCTGATATTCTTTTGCTTAAGGCTAACACTCTACCACTTGAACTACAGTGCCACTGCCAGGGCTGTTTATGTGGTACTGAGGAATCAAACCCAGGGCTTCATGCATTCTAGGCAAGCACTCTACCACTAAGCCACATTCCCAGCCCCCTGAGATTCTTCCCCCCCCCAAAAATTAACTGCATTAAAGGATTTCACCATGGTAATTTTATTTCCATATATATTTTTATCATAAAAATACTGTACAGAGGGGTTACAGTTACATGAGTAATGAGTATATTTCTTATCAAGCATTGTTACCTCCTCCTTTGTTTTTCTCATACCATCCCTTCTCTCCCCACCTCCTCCCTCCCCCCC